TGAGTGACCCATTATCTTATATCTTATGTATGGATTTAGTGCATGTTGCGTGGACGTCATTGATATATACGTAATATCTACAATGATTGAAAAATCTCTAAAAGCTCATAGTTGTATATGTTTGACACAACTACTTCTAAGAATGTTCAATTTTTAAGATCATTTTGGGAAGGCTTTCAACACTTCGAGAGTTTATTAAACCAAATAACATCAAACAGTAGTTTTTAACAACGGCTATAATTAATATTTTCTTTTTAATAATGACTTTTCATGTACTATCATTTACTAAAAAAACTCAAAAAACATAATTTTCAGTCAGTTTTGTCAAACATACACTTATTATTTTATGTTTAATTTTCAAGTCCGACCCGATACTTGGATGCTATTTACTAATAAAAGCTTCCATCTAATGTTGTGAAATTGCAGGCATAGATTACCTATCCATCGCTACTGGAGTAACAGATGAACTTAAGGGGGTCCATTTGACGTTCCTAAATCAAAAGGTTGGTAGTTCAGTTTGCATCTATAAATTATAAGAAAATTCCCTATATATGGGTGAAGCATACCAAATGTTCCAATATGATTATCATAAACTATTACTCAAATAAAAATACAGACATATTCATTCCTGATTTATGAAATTTTATGTTTTTAACATAATCAACTAAACACTATTTTAGAAAATAAACATAATTACTCGCATTTAATTTGTACATTTTGTCTATGTCTTACTCATATTTGGAGCAATCCCTTATAAACTAATGTAAGTTTTTAAGTCCAAATCTTATTATTATTACAATCAGTGTAAGTTATTTGTTTGAATGGACACAGGATATAATTCCAGTGGAGGATTTAAAACTGGACGAAGTAGTTCCTGGAATATACACAATTCACTGTCTCCCACTGAGGTTGGTAACCTTAGATGGATCGCCCGCCAGATGCATCTTGATCCAGTGATCTAATTCATGCTCGTCTTCCACTACCTGACCCAATTCATTATTTTATTGGAAGATTGATTATGTTAAGATTGTTATATGAATATATAACTATTCTCAATTGTACACAATATTTATTCTAGAAATGAATCTTCCTTTTTATTCCATGCAACCTTGAGCTCGACATCCATTGTGTTACTTTCTTTATCTCTAATAACTTCGCAAAATTTAATTAAGAAGCCTGAAAATAATATAAACAATTATGAGATTAAAGTTATGATAAAAACAAATTATGAGATGAAAACTTGGCACCCAATACGCGGTGGTTAGATAATTAGCAATTGCGTTCAACTCATTAGTCTTGGTGATCATCTGCCTCATAATTTACGCACAATATGCAAATGAGTTATGAAATTATTTCAAAATTATTATCAAAAGATGGGGAAGGAATATTTTTTGAAAAAATAAAGTTTTATTAAAATATCAAACGAATCGAGAGTTACAAACTTACAATTAGTCAATAGTTCAAAAATCATCACTTATCTTCTATCAAACTCCATCTAAACTCAAGAAACGCCCCACGATCAAACTCCGAGAGGGTCACATGCGATCCAAAACAGCAGAGGCAGAGCCAAGTCACTGGGTCAGACTGGACCGGTACAAAGAATATTTTTGGAAAAGTTCGAAAGCCAAAACAGGTGACGTTTTAGTCACCATCAGTGATACCAGTAGTGAAGCAGCCTCCGTTGTAGGCGTCGTCGCGGCTATAACCCTTGCTCCAAGCACAAGGAAGAGGGCTATATATAGAGAGCTTCGTCTGGTCACTGTTGTACCTCAGGTATTGATCGGGAATCCAAATTAAAGCCAAGAAACAAAATTCTCTATTCCCATCGCAAAGGAAAACTGGTCGCACGTTTATGCGATGGAAAAACTAAACCGGCAAGAGCTGTGCGAGAGAGACCGTCATAGTTTTTTGATATGGATAATGCATAATCAATGAAATTTAATGATTTTTAGTGATTATAATTATATTTAAATACAAAGTATTACATTAGTACATTTTGGTAACTATAAAATATGCTCCTAATCACTTATTTACATTTTTACCAATGAGTATTATTTTAATTATATATTCTACGAAAAACTTCATAAGTTATCCTTAGTTCGAATTTCCTTAATTATCCAATAAAATCAAATTAATCAACCAAATTTATGGGACTGTCATGATCAAACCACATGTGATTTTGCACTATTGTAGTTATTTAAGGAATAAGATTTTAATTAAACATTAACCTTCTTACCATATGAGTCTCACACATTTAATTGTTTGAATACTAGTAATTTTACTTGTGTCGTGCCCGAGATAGAAGTATATTCTAGTGTATGAGATTATGTGTATGTGAGTTATTTGCTTAGTATTAATCAACACACATAAGATACCGCATTTGTCCCTTACAAAGAAATCAGTTGGATTCAAATGAAATCGGTTTATTTAATTGCATTTACCGAAATAAAGAATGATTATAATTATCATTGATTTAAACAATTAAATTATACATACAACCAGTTATTGAAATAATATTTTTTTATTTGTCCCAAACACGTTTTGATTAAAGCTATGTGGCAGTTAGCTTATTTATAATTTAATCAAGACACTATTTTATAATTTGGCGTACAATAATTTTGAGGCAGTGGAATGAAAATTTGTTTGTTACAATTAAAATTTGAGGAATTTCCTATAATAAAAGTAAAAATAATGGAAAATTTCAAAATATATATAAGTGTTATGTTTTTCTTAAAATATGATCGTTATATTTTTCTTCTTTAAATATAAGTAACTTATTGTCATCCTAAAATTAGGATATATTTTAGCAGTTGGCACTACCGACATCCGATCCATATGTGAGTGTTTTTCATGCATGATACTATGATAGTCTAAATAAAAACATAGTACTCATTTTTTAATCTATCTTTGATAGACTCAATTTTAATAAATAAAAACATAGTACTCACATCTTGAAAATCCAAATATAATAGTCACAATCACAGTATTCATTGAGAACTTAAATACTACAATTAAAGGCTATATGCAATTTAACAACGCAAACCAGACTCGGACTTCCAGGTCTTTTCCCCCAGACCGGGCAGCAGTCTCGGCACGGAACCGGGACCAAACCGACCGGGCTCCATCCCTACCGCTACCCGTGGCAACGCCCTTAGATCTCTATCCTTAAGAATTAGAATTCATCATTTATAGTTTTATAAAACTTAGATTTTAATGGAAGTGACACCTGTAGCGACATGCTGCATGAAGATTATTAATAATTGGCCTTTGGGTTACGAGTTACGACGACGTCTATTAATTTTTTCTCATTCGAGTTATTGAGTGTATTGATCTTATTAAGTAAAATAAATGTTATTGGACAAAAGGGTTTGCATGTTTTGGACTTGTAGTAGGTAATTTTTTATTTATCACATACTTTTTGGTAAACGCTCATTGAAATATGCCAAATGTCGCATTGAGAAAAGAATAACATACCGTGTAGTAAGTTAGTAGCAACACTTCAACAACCTCAAAATGACATAATGTTTACCTATTATTATGTGCCAATAATAATCAAAACCTCTTTAAAAGTAGTTGTGAATCTAAGCGTGTGAACATAAGCATATCAAAATGCCAACTACAACAAAAGCCCAAATTAACATCCCCACTCAGGGGGGAAAAATCATAATTTTCATCAAGTGAATAATATTGGATTAAAATTACATCTATGAGGAAAAGAATATGACTCATGAAAGGAATGGCCAGCTGGGTGGTCCGGGGAGTGACACTTAATACATGGGGTTGCCGGTTCTATCTATCTAGCTCTTAGGCTAACCGCAATCCAAGCCCGTCAATAAATCTAATCTCCCTCCCGTTTATACGTATTCATCCAATCAATCAAGTTTTTCCCTGCAATCCATCACCGTCAATATATTTACTTAGCGTATTTCTTTTCTAATTAAATCTTTTTTTATTATTATATAAAAAATTATCAATATTTATTTTTATGAATAATTATAATTTAAAAAGTCAAACATTATGATGTAAAAATAAATAATTTTGGAGGATCATTTTTTTTTGTAGTTTCAAACCTACTTTGTAAAACATAACCAAAAGATGTAAAAAATATTATTAATGAGATCTTGATTTTAACATTTGGATCTACTTAAGTAAAAAATTCAACCTATAGATTTCAACCAGATGAAACTTCATATATTTTTTAACTTTATATATATGATATTGGTGTCATATGAAAGATCATGAAAAGTTATGAATTTTGACATATTATTTGAAAATATTGAATCATAAATAAAAAAGTTATACTATTTTTTTTAAAAAGTGGGATTTTAAAATATTGGCAATTTAATTTTGCTTAGTTGTGAACATCATCCGTGCATCCTATTCTCTCCACAGTGAATGGAGCACGTCAGTCCCACGCACCAACTAGGACCATGCTTTTCTCCTGCAAAAGTCAGCCCACCTGTGTATCTATGCTCTGCAAGAGAGTCAATCATCCGCTCAAAAACCCCTCCCGTTAGTTCTCTGTATTGGCTATGAGACCCCCATATACTAAAAGACCTCTGCGTTGCAGCTCTTTTGGGGTGAAAACCTCACATTTGGGGTTTTCACCCCCTCCATTGCAATCAGCCTTAGGCACCACTTCGACAAAATATGATTGCTATACATTTATATATGTAATTAACAAACAAACACTAATACATTGATGTTATAGTAAAGAGTAGAGATTCTAGATTGCTGAAATACTCAGCAAAACTATAAGAAGAAGTGACAAAATATGATTGATATACTACGTTAATATTAATTAATGTAATTAACAACCATGCGAATAAATTGATGTTGTAGTAAAAAAGTAAAGAGATTGTAGAAAGCTGACATACTCATCCAAACCATATGAAGATTATGGAACTTGATACAGTGAAGTAAAAATTCACTTTTGTTTTCACTAAAAATAAGGAACCCTCTTCAGAATAAAAAACCTACACATAAAAATGTCATTTTAACGTCTTCTCCCTTGCCAAGTGTATATAACCAAAATTTTCTCCCCTAGGAGCTTCCAGTGTAAATAGAAGTTACTCCCTCCGTCCCATTTATATTGTCCCGGAAGAGGGTGGCACGATTATTAAGAAAAGTGAGTTTGTGTGATTGATATTAATTGATAAAGTAAGAATAAAGTAAGAATGATTTAGAGCCACACAAACATTGCCAAATATGGTATGGGATAATATAAGTGGGACTTCCCGAAAAGGTAAAACGAGACAAAATAAATGGGACGGAGGGAGTACATCTTTATCTCCTAGCATGTGACTTTAGATGAAACCATATTCCAGAAGAAATTTGTCCACCAAAGAAAACCTATGCTTTATAAGAATGTTGTGTATTCGAGATAACAACCAAGCTGTCAAGGTACACTAAACTTTAATAAGAGTTGACTAAATTGTACAATGTTATGATTTTTGTATCCAAACTTTGAGCTTTGAAGACTTATCTATGCTTGAGAGAAGACATGAAAATGTGAAAAGTTATGTATGCAACTAAGTGTTTGTTAATATGCTTGATAGAACATGTTACTTTGTCACACTATTCTTCTTCACTTTCAATTCTCTTTTAGTCTTTTACCTTTCTAGAAAGTGTAGTATCCAACTACGGAGTATAAGTCTAACTTGGTGATATGAGACAATCAAACTTCACTGATGCCATATTTGCTTCCAAAATAAAAGAAATGATATGTAAGAAGTGCAAAAAAGTAAGAAGACATGTAAATAAGCTCTTCAAGCAAAGCATATAAATTAAGGAAACACCCGCCAGTTGCAATTCGTTTACATAAATTGTAGACTAACTTGGTCAGTTTTATTAGGCACTCTAAAATCTATACTTTATGCTTGTACCTCTTCATCCCTATAGGCTTCCTATAGGTTCTAATGTAAAACACTGATGCGGTCTGTATCATTGAAACATATGTGCAATAGTTCATAACTTACGAAAAACTTCATAAGTTATCCTTAGTTCGAATTTCCTTATCCAATAAAATCAAATTAATCAACCAAATTTATGGGGCCGTCATGATCTAACCACATTTGATTTTGCACTATTGTAGTTTTAAGAAATTCTCCCCTATAATGTATGCACAGTACTAGTTAGATTAGTACGGAGTATTTTTTTTAAGGATTAAGATGCTAATTAAACATTAACTTTCTTACCAGATGAGTCTCACAGATTTAATTTTCTGAATATGTGTGCATATTATATCGTACACCCGACTGTACTGTGCGCGCGGTATAACCAGGCACTTTCATCACAATTTTCACTTCATAGACCACTTCCTTCGCACTTCGCTTGATGTTCTTCCTTCGCTCACCATACACAAATGACGACTCGTCACTCGCAACGATCCCTTCTCCTCTAGCATATGAGCGCAGCAGCATCAGCTTGCGCAGAGATCGCGGCTCTGCCGGGTGTATACTCCGACGCTAGTTACCTCTCCTCCTTCCCTCTTTCTTTGCGCTCTTTTTCTTTTTCTCTTTTTCTTAAGCAAATTTGGTGAGTTTGGTCATTTATTGGCCAAGGGTTGGGAGAAACTTAAGCTATAATTAGTATTACTGATATGAGCATACACAAATGAAATTTGAACATAATAGAGATTTTAAATGAGCTTTTTGAAATTTTCGATGCACATTTCGAATTCGTAATTTATGTTTGCTCATTTGATATTGGTGTAATACTCATTTAATTAAATTGTCATATTCATGCATATTTCAAAAGTATAATATTACAATAAATTGACATATTGGATTCATACGGGTTCATTGTAGATATTTTAAAAAACAAGAAAAAGAAAGTGAATTATAGATATGAAGCCGATATCACGATGGTCATTATTAGATTTTCAATACTTAGTAGAATAGATTTGATTCTCACTAAAAGTACATTAATGACCATTTAAGAGAAGACGTGGTTTTCACCAAAATTACGAAATTGTCTCCAGCTGTATGGTGCAAGTCGTCATACAGTCGGTTGTACGATATACGTAATGCAAAAACAGTTTTCGTTCAAATATAGTGTAAAGTCATATTTGTGAGAATAATAATTATCATATTGATAGTCCTACGTATACCCAGAAACATGTGTTGTAGGGGATACATGTGGAATCATCATTATCGAAGTTAATATTAAAAGAGAAACCTCTTAGGATTTTCATGCCCCGTGAGGAGAGTGCTCCCCTATCTAATTGAAGGCAGACTCAAAACTTACCAACCAAATAGGTCGGGAGATGATGATCTTAACGTCACACCAACAGTAAGATTAGTTACTGATCAAGAGCTGTTAGACTGCCTTCTTGAGCCAGATATTGCTTTCACTGGATTTCAGGTGTTTCCCACGAGGTATGCTTGCATCAAGGAAAAAATAGGTCACTAGTAATGTTGTAGGGGGCTTTGACGGGGACTTCGCAAAACAGACTTGATCTCGGGGGCCTTTATCAAATAGGAAATGATGGGTAGTCGATTGGATTATCACTGATTGGAGCTGGTTTCTTATTGATTTTCTTATCCCTAAAAACAATGAAGTTCAAATTACACAGGGTTTTATACTAATGTCTAAATAATTCTTATGAAATAATTATATAGTATTACACACCCACCCTTCAATTTGTGCAGGGGAGAACACACGCAGATTGGTAAGCAAGAAATGAAATCTCTGAAAAATAAATTCTCGAAGTGACGTGTTCTCTAATTGTCAAAGTGATAGTCAATATTAATGTAACTAATGAAAGTTGACAAAACGTCCTTCATGAAAGTTGTAGATAATGAAGTCCTCTATCCACCCCAACTTGTCGAATTAGATTTGAATCATCCAATAAAGAGATATGAATAAAATGGTGGAAGATGTCATTCTGAAATCGCAACAAAGATCATCTGACTTCATCGTCTGTTTTCACCTTGCTCCTCTCCGATTCTCGGAATGATGTCTTCATATGATTTGTAGCCCTTGAAGTTGGATTTCATATGCAACTTGAATTGTGTCCTTTGTATGCCTCTACAAAGAGATATGATTGAACGATTGACAGAAGGTCATTCTGATCGCCGTTTTCCAGCTCTATTCGTCTTCTTTTGATCCCGTAGCCAATCCTAGAGCTCTTTTGTCATCAAATATTCATTGTAAACTTCCCAATGACTTCTAAAGCTCTCAAATCACTCTCGAATGCTTCTCAACTCGTCCCGATTTCTCCTCAAACGTCGGTGCCGGGCTCAAATTCCCTGATTTTAATTTGACTCCAAATGACACAAAACTCGAACCAACGCCTCGTAAACATAACTTGAGCTAAAATTGAGACTTGCAACACCTTAAATCTAGGAAAACAATCAAAAGCCGATCCCAATCACGCATCAAATGCGTGTCTAAATACGGACTTATCAAGTACCTACAGCTTGAACTCAAGATGAAAATTTAGATCAGCTAAATCTTTCATGGAAAAAGAACGACTGAGAAGAGAAATAAAGCAAGACTCAAATGCAGATGAATTACTTGTGACAAGAATATCATCTACGTATAGAAGAAGCTAGCTAAATGATATGCCTGTCACGATGAAAAATAAATAAGGAGTTGTCAAAGTGGTTGGCCTAGAAACCAAGACTAAGAAAAAAGATGCTAAAGCGATAAAACCAAACACGAGTGGCTGGTTTTAAATCATATATAGCTAGCTTGAGACGACAAAAATGGGACATATATTGCATGTGAAGAAAGCCAGGTGGCTGACACATATAGACTTCTACGAGATTACCATGTAAAAAATATTTTTAATATTTAACTGACGTATAGCCAAACTAGACAACTATAGTAAGTACCACCTAAACAGTAGTGAGTTTAATAACAGGACTAAATGTTTCAGAAATATTCATACCTGCTTGTTGATTAAAGCCCTCAGTCACTAAACGCGCCCTATACCACTCAATTGAGTCATCAGAGCAAAATTTTGTTTTATAAATCCATTTCAAGCCAACTACATTTTTAGTCGGGTCAAATGGAATTAAATACCAAGTGTAATTAGATATAAGTACATTAAATTCTTCTGCCATGTCTCTCTCTGGTCATAATCCTAAGATAATGCCTACAAGGCTACAAGGAACCCACATGGTTTAATTAATTATCCACCCCAAGTAATAGAGGGTAAAGAAGGCACAAATCCATATACTCGTCATCAACTAATTTTCTCTCATGAGAGTGTATGAGTTGAGCGACGAACCTTACACTTATATTAATGGTACATTTAGCTAATATGAACAGATAACCATGTGTTTACACTATATGGCAATGGCTGATGGATTTGTTGACACCCAGGTTGAAACAGATGTTGCTCATTTGTTAACAATGCTTATGGATGGACGAAACAGACAACTGTGCTTATGGGCTTCGGGATTTCAGAAGGAAAGCAACGGGCAGAGGCTATTCTTTCGGACACGTGCCTAGAGAAGGTAATGGGTCGGCCCACTACTTAGCGACACTTAATATTGACACGGTCCTATGTGTTAGATTTGATCAGGTTGGAATTTTACCCAATCGGGTCAAATCCGCCTACTTTGCTGATCTTTTTGGTATTACTACTTTACGTTTATATTTGTTATTTTGTTTTTATTTTGGGTCAGGTCTAGCCCCCCCCCCCCCCCCAAAAAAAAAAAATTCTTTGACTTTTAATTGTGTTTTTTCTTTTAGAGGAATGCCTCTGAAGGGGGGTTTTGGTCTGATCCCCCTCTCTTTTGTAATCTTTTCTATCATTAATAAAATAAAACAATGGCAAATGATTCCCGGCATTTGCCCCACTAGTGGGTGGTTTGCCTTCCGGGTTAAAAAAAAGTTTAGAGCACGATGATATCGAAACATACATTATCGCAATTTGAAAGTAATGAGAATATTGACCTAAATCATGAGTACAAGTAAAAGAGAATATTTGACAAAGAATGAGTGCTAATCTTATCTACCAAGCGTAATGAGATAATGAGGTCTTGATTACGTAATGAGATAATGAGGAAGCCGTCCAGCCCAGCTGGTCGCCAACTCACTCTCCCTTACGGGAGGTCCCAGGTTCGAAACTCAATGGAGTGAGTTTTAGCCCCAATTACTCCAAGTCCCACCAGCCCCCCTCCCCAGACGCCCCCTGGAGTAAAAGAAAATGAGGTCTTGATTATTCTCACAACACTCTGGACTCAAATATGAGATGTTATACTTCGCTATTATGAAATACAAAATTTTCAGCTACTTAGTCTCCCAGAGGCCTCCAAAGTAATTTTGGATTTATGGAGATGCAATTACAGATTCTGATTACTAAATGCTTGAATACAATCTCATTTTAGACATGCTTATGAAGCATTTCTTATGCTTTTACTATTTCAAATCAAGTTATTCTTAATCACATAATACAATTTTATGAATCACACTCATCAATTCAGATAAAAATGACATATCCTTTAAGGGATCACTAGATTGAGAAGGGATACAAAATAATACATTTTGTTTGTGCATTTATGAAGGCAACAAGTTTCAAATTTTTAAGTATTGTTGAATGTCAAAGATACATACGTAACAAGTACTCATAATAAAGTATCATGGACCTTCACACACTTGCAAGTCATACTTGAGATAAAAGATCTTGGGAAACTCGATTCTGATTTGAATGTTCGAGTTGGTTGAAAAGTTAATAGGGATACGGAATTCCCTATATAAGTGCAATGCGCGCATTATTTTACATTGACAAGCGTATATAGTCTACCAAAAATTACATTCTCAAGAACCTGTTAGCTAAAAATAGCTCAAGAATAGCACAACATACATCATCATTAGAATGGTATAATGAATGTACTTTAATGTGTATATGAAATCATTGTGTAATCTTTATTCAACCCTTAAAAATTGAATTGAATGAGTGATGATAATATTCTTTTAAAAAAAACTCGAAATGTCATAAGTATCACAAAGAAACGTTATTTGAGTTTTATCGGTGGTGGATATCCCCTGAACTCATTGATATTTTCTAGAATGAGTTATATTTATCATCATGAAAGAATCCATTATATACATTTAAGAGATCTGATCATCATAAGGTGATTGGATATTCAGATTTTATTGACGTGTCGATAGTAGAAAGGCAACACATGGTTATCTGTTCATATTAGCTGAAGGAGCAGTATCTTGGAAGAGTAGTTAACAAACAATTAGTGTTATTTGCACTATGCAGGCAGAGCCACTTTTTGTGGGTTTGTGGGTGCGGGACTTTTTTCAGGACTTGGGATTATCGACAGTATAGCTAAGTCGCTCAAAATCTATTGTGATAACTCCACAGTAATCTTCTTCACGGAGAATCTGTGGCAGAGCCACTTTTGGACTTGGATGTATACATATATTAAATATTAATGTAGTCTGTATATAGTTGAGCCCCTGTAGCCCATACTGTAAACCCACCCACCAGCCCTTACTCTCTTATTTCCTTGTGTTGTACTGTTGTACACCTCGGCCATGTCTGGCTTTCAGCCCATCTTACATCTACCTAGCCAGCCAACCATAGTACAGTGGTAGCCCAAGACTCAAGTGTCCTGCACTCCTGCACGCCCGATGGAGCAACCAACGATGACGGACGGTGAGTTGGCGACTTCCGACTTAATCTCCAATTCTCCGCCTCTCCGTAAGCCACTTAAATTTTTAATCTTCTAATCTATAAATTGTTTAATTTTTGTGCAATTCTATTCTCATAATTTCATTTAATAAATTGTTAATTGTATTGTGTATATGTTGATTGAATTAGTTCGTTACTCTGTACAATATAAATTTTACAATTATACTTATATAACTTCAATTGTAGTTTTTCAAGGTTGTTTGACACTTAGATAAATCATCCCTATGGTACTACCGACTTCTAAACGGCGGAGCATCGGTGGTTCTTCATCCAATAATATAATTTTTCTTCAGATAATTAACATTCCTAACTATTATATTGTTCTTCTTCATTTAACGCATCAGTTTCTAATTAAAATTAAGGTATTACTTAATTACTTATTTATTTAAATTTTGTTGTTTTGTTTATTAATATATTCACAATATATATACTAATTTATAGAAATGGATCAATGTAGGACAAAAATATACACAAAAAATTAAAAATTGGACTAAACATATTTTATTCCCTAAATAAGACTTATTTGGTCATATTAAAAGTACAATTTGATTAGTATTTCCCAAAATAGGAATGATTGAATCCTATTTTAGGAATAAAACATTGATAGTCCTATTTATGAACTTCATTCATGTTTTTTCGTCATATTTATGAATTTTTCTCTATTGTTTATGTGTAAATGTGCCCCTCCAAGTCACCCGTGATGGTTCGGCCACTAAAGTATAATAGGTACACTAAAGGTGTTAAACACATAGATTTGGAGCACTTGTTAGTAAAGGGAGAAGTTCAAAAATATAAAGTGTTAATTGAGCATATTTACATCGAACAAAGGCTTGTGGATCCGCTGACTAAGGATGTTTTCTTTTGGACTGAAATTTGCTGGTCTGGTCTGGTCTGATCTAGTCTGGTCTGGCCTGGTCTAGTAAACGTCTAGTTTCTGTGTATTTTATAAATACAGAAGTCTGGTCTAGTCTGGTCTGATCTGGTCAGATCTGGTCTGATCTGGTCTGGTCTGGTCTAGTAAACGTCTAGTTTCTGTGTATTTTATAAATACGGAAGTCTGGTCTGATCTGGTCAAATCTGCTCTGGTCTGGGATTGAAAACAGTCCAAAAGAAAACATCCTAAAAGGTCGTCACCCAAAGTTTTTAACAATCATGTAATTAGTATGAGTGTTGTCGATAAAGTCTTGGTCATATGTTTTATATTAATGTTTTGACCCTCATTTGATTCAATAAAGGCTATATATGTTTTTGTTATACTTGTTATCTATTTGATCGTGATCACTTATACTCCCTCCGTCCCACTTAAAGGTTCTCACGCGATTTACAATGTTTGAGTGACCATAAGGTTAACCGATCTTTATCATTAATAAAATTTCTTTTAAAATATACATATTCAGAAACTACATTAAAAGTTTTATAATACCTGATTAAGAAAAAAATAAGTTTGATAAAAATTAGATATATGAAGTAAAAGATTAAAAACAATTCACGTTGACTGGAGAATAGTAGACGGGAACATTTAAATGGGACGAAGTGAGTAATTATTTGTAATGATAACAAGTGCTAAGAATTTAAGTATTTCTCAAATTTAAGAATTGAGAGTTTCAATTTTCAAGAGATAAAAATGAATTAGAATTGCTTGTGATACATTGAAGAAAGCATGTCACCGTAAATGATGTGCAACCACCATAATCCATTCAATTTGAAATTCAGTTAAGTTTTTCTATAGAGTTTGTTTTGATGAATATTGCACAATTTAAGTTTTCATCAATCCAGCAAGAATCACATGATCAAGTGAGAGAATGTTAGAATATATTTAATAATAACTAATATTCTAATGATGGTTAGGGATTATGTACTATTAATAGAGTTCATATAGTCCTACACTTTTAATTGATTTAACGATTGGCTAAACATGTGGTTAAGTTTGTTTAGGACTAGGGTTGCACAACTTTCTCCTCCGCCTCTATATATATGTGTATTCCCTATGGAATATCAACACAATATAATTGAAAGATATCTACATGTCAAGAATCTCATAAGGAAATTGTTAACTGTTTTTTAAAATAATTTTAAAGGCCTAAAAAATATATTAGTAATTAGTAGTAGGAATAATGATAGGTATTTTACATGCGGAACTGGCGGAAGAGCTAATGACTAAAATAGGAGTGATTTTTAGAGTATGTTTGGCACGACTAGCTGAAAAGATACTTTTGTGATCTTTTTAGTAACTGTTGACTTTTAGTAACTGAAAAAAACTTAAAAAGAAAAGGTGGTAGCTGTTTGGTAAAAAGTCGACTGTTTGATTTAGTTCTGTTTAGTATAAAACTGTTAGGACAAATTAATACTAAAAGTCACGGTCTTTTCTCAGATGCTACTCCCCGTAGCATCTCAAAAAGATCTTTTATTTTTTGAAAAACTCTTAAATTTTGTCATTCCAAACATACAACTAAAAGCTTTTATAGACTTTTTAAACAGTATAAAGCTAGAATGAAGAGACTTATGTCTGCCAAACATGCACTTAATTAATCTTCCAAAAAAGAGACCCGTTTTGCACTCAAATTTACCAAATTAACCTTCTAAAAACCCAGCAACACGTGTCGGTCATTTTGCTCCCCTGCTTTTTTTTTCGACGCCATCTACATATCTGCTCTTCGCCTTTTTGAGTCGCGATTCATTTGCACTGCCACAAACAAGCCTAACTTATGGATTAACGAGCACAAACAGAACGAAATCAAAGAAGAAGGAAGGCAATGGGGGCTTTCGAATCGTTGGCAGCAGAGCACCTACGTCTTTAGATCTGGGAAGTTAGGGTTTTGACTCAACGGAGGCGGCGGCGTCAAGATATAGATCTGCCACCACGACAGTGATCGGCGGTGACGCTGCAAAGCTTGGCTTTCTGATTAATGGCAGCTTGGGAGCTGGGGGTAGCGAGGGTGCAGGGATTAGGGCTGGAGGCTAGGGCTACAAGGGAGCTGGGGGATAAGGAGGAGTTGGGCAAACCGAGTCAGAGTGGGCCAGTGGATGGCGGCGGTGGTAGTCGGCGGAGGTGGTTGGCAGCGGATGCACTGGTTGGGTACGGTGGTGGTCACTGGCCAGGGCATTGGGCGGTGATGGCGGACATTGGTCATTGACGGGCGAACGTTAGTCATTGGACATGCGACTGTTGTTCACTGGAC